TAGCGATGTGGCCTGGTTTGCCATATATAAAACATTTACGGGTCTTAGTTATCTTGGGTCGACTTCTATCTAAGACGCATGGGTTAGGCTTATAAAAGCCTACCTTTCCTTTTCCTTTACCCATATAATTAAACTGGACATCTTCCATTAGTTCGTATCCATAGTTGCCTCACGACTGCTAATGTCCCTTATATGCCTTTAGTGACGCCCTATAGACAATAGGTACTACCTTTCTAAAACTAACATTTCTTAGGTTCTTTTGGAATTCTTATTATAGTGCAAACCATTCTCCATTAATCCTAATGGCTTTAGTGTATAATTCTTCAAGAGTCTTAATTTATGCTCTACTACGTAAGAGTTCTTCGCACATAAATCTCTTAAGTCCTTATCTATATATAGTTATTAGGGATTCATCCTCCCATTTAATCTATATAGTATATTTCCTAAATTTAGCTATATATTCTACTACGGATCGTTTCTACGTGATGGTTTAGATGGCTTATTTAGCTATGGGTACCTTATTGGTAATTCTAAATATCTATTAGAGACTCTTCTTAAAGTTTAGGTAGTCTTTAATAATGTTAATTATGTTGGCGTAGAGGTTGAGATATTCCTCCTTATAGTTATTGTAGTCCATTCCTAGGTACTTAGTAACGTAGGGTTGGATCTAATCTCTAGCATCGCCTCGCATGTAGGTGGCTACGAAGATAACTTTCTTCTTATCTTTAAAGTCTTTGTTGTTGTCAAAGAAGTAGAGGTCCAACTAAAATAGCCATACATTAGTGTATCTACTGCAAAAAAGATGTACTACTTAAATTTCTGCGGGAGCTTAATGCTGCGGCCACGTCTTGAAGTGATTACTGGAGAAGGATCACGTGCTAGATCATCCTGAGCCTCAACCTACACCTCTGCAGCAGCCTCTACACGAGCTTTTTTCTTCTGTTTCTTTGCAGGAGGCTTTGAAGTCTTCCTCTTTCCCTTTTGGGAAGTTTCTATAGCCTTTTTAGTGTTTTCTTTCTCTGTTTTCTTGCGCTAGCGTTCAGCCTCTTTTTCTGTTGCGGTTGAGGATAAATCGCACGTTGGGCAGAAGAAATTGTTAGGCACTGAAGATTGATTGAATACTAGCTATTGTGGTATATATATGTGCTCGTGAAGCGATGTAGTACAGAGCATGGGTAAGCGATGCTGGACCGAGCCATGGTGTTGAGGTTAACAGGGTAAACCGCGACATTAACTATGTATGTCAAAAGGGAAACAGCTCAGAACAAGTGTTGAAGGTTCCAAAGATATTTTTAAGTGAAAGTAAGGAAGTATGTAAACTAAACAACCAGGAAATAGGCTTAGAAGCGGCCATTTTTTAAAGACCTCGAGCCGGAACCCTGGAAATATCTCATTTAGGAAGGAAGCAACCAACTTGGCCAATGAGAAGTTCTTAGAGTTAGAGAAGAATTTGAGAAATTGGATCCAAAAGCCACATATCTGTGGAGGATGCAGGAGATATCTTCACTTCCGTAGCTTGTTTCGGGGGTAGCCCTGCCCCAGCGTCCATTCCAGTCCAATCACTCACTTGGCCCGTTCTACCACCCGAAGTGGGACTTCATCCGAGAATCCTATCTCTGTATATGTCTGCTCTTCTTCGATCGAGTGTTTGACAGAATTAACCTGGAATCTCTTGGACATCGTACCTGTTAATGCCTTTTCGGGTCTTTCAACAAGGACGAAGAGGAATTCGACGACGATCGGTGCGAAGGTACACAATCCGATGACCTGACCAAATGTCCATTTATGGTTCTCGTTTGTCTCGCCGGCGTTTTTCTCCACCTGCTTTCGGTAATAGTAAAATGCGCCAAATGCTATCCACATGGCTATGGTCGCGAACAAAGCCATCATGGAACTCAAAGCATCTTGAATCTTCTCCAGATGTTTTTGGATCCAAGGAATCATGGATAATATGTAAATACTTCCGAAGGCACTCAGGGAGATGAAGAAAACCAAGACAATTAGCCTAAGATGCGACGGCACCTGATTGTCGATGCAGAGATTTTCAAACAAAGCCTTTCCGTTAAAGGTCATATCTTCGTCATTTTTATCGTGGAAGGTGAAAATCTCACTTCCTGCCATTCTACTGAGAACAAACATCAGGACAACTAATACGCCTACCAGTATCCAAACACTTTGGCGGTAGACTTTGCGTCGAAGAAGACTTGATGCTGACGAATGCAGAGCTATCGCCGGGAAGATGCTGAGCAATGCCGCAAAGGCGGACAATTGGACTGTACTGTTGAGAGGGAGCTCTCTTGTAATGATCCCAGTTGAGAGGTGCTCGGTCTCCAATTTGCGAACGGATGCCAAAGCGATGTTTGCGGTCACAATGGCGGCGATAATCATCGCAATACTGAACAATAGAGACGCATCGAGAAATGTGCGCAGTGTCTCGCGAGCAGAATCATGGATTCTTCTTAACAGCGTCCGCGTTTGACCTGTTTTGGTGGTGGATCGAGCGTCAGTTGTCGAGTCGAGTTTGCTAATCCGTGATATGAACAAGATGATAAGATAAATCGTTACAAGTACGGCTTGGGAGCCATAGGCGAAGATCATCTGCATGTCTCAGCTTTTTGGGTACTTATCAGGAAGATTTGCTCACTCCTCTCCCAGCTTGGTCAGCGTTACCTTGCCAAGGTAATCCCCGACAGACATCGGCTTGGCAATGATCGAATGCATAATCTATGATTTGAGAGACCGGGTGGCTGCCACACATACTCTGGCCGTCGCATTCGTCCACGTTGAGAACCCAATTGAGAACCTCGTCGATTTTTGGTTTTGTAATGTTGTTCTCTCGCCAATAGTAATCGTAGCCTTCGAAAATAGCGTCCACGGTCCTAAGTGATAACAAATCCATGCTGCCGATAAATTCAACGAGCCAGGCGCTCGGGGAAGTGCAGTTAGAATACCTCAGGGCTTTCGAGTCCTCAGGAATCCATGTGCGATTTTTTTGGTCGGCCATTATGAGAGAATGACAACGAAAGAGACGAGAAAAGATTTTCTTGGAGATTTTCTTCAATTATAACTGCTTGGAGCCTCCTATCAAGAGGCCGGTCATCGTGTGGAATGAGGTGCCAGCATTTACCGATAAGAGTTGAATTAGTAAGGAAGCCGAGACAAGGTGATACAGACAAGCCCATTCCTACGATTAGTTGGTAGGGTCTCACAGCAATATATTGATCTTCAAATGTTGTACGCCGAGGCTGAGACATTCTCATACAGCCGCACTGCGATTGTCACCCACAGCAAAGAATTGAGCTCTTTCCAGATCAAAAACCATAAGCTGAGATTGTTTTGAACCATTTCTCTTCGACCAATCCCAACAACGAGTGAGCTGAACCGAGCCTTCGAGCTCTTTTTTCTTCTTTCCCTTTTTTTTCTTGGTGGTTGTTGTCATTCGAATCGAGCAAGGTACGGCCCCTCAGCTGATTTGGCGATTTGGCGAGAACACTGCCACCACACCGATGGCGCGACCAATGGATTGCTAGGTCGGTATCGAACCGTTCTCTGCGTTTCTTGGGTCGCACCGAAAAGGGCTATGTTAGTCTAGACAAAAAAGGATTTGATCACGAAGCTCTTCTGCCGTAAGAAGTGGCCGAAAGGCGTGAAGCTCACCCCAGGCAACTGCCTTCTACAGGGAAGTTGCGCATTCCCAAAGCGATTTGATGCGCGAAGCAAATCGATTCGGACGAATAATGCCACAATAAGGTCATGCGTACGCGATGTCGTGTATCTTAACATGGCCCCTCCGCGAGCTTCATTTTGCCTTGCGATTGACCAGTCGAGTCTTGCGAAAAGTGGAAATGAGCGCATATCCGGTTCAAAAGCCAAACGTTCCTAATGTCTCTGAGCTTCAAGTTTGACGTTGCCTTCCAGCGTGCACATGCAATGAAGCTATTAGATTTTAGTCTACTGTGAGCAGGACAGTTGTTGATGGAGACTAGTAAGTACGTTGCATTTTTGAAGACATTCCAGTCCGGGCTGAGCACCGCGGCTGCAGGTGTGGTACAAGGCGGGCGCGGAACTGGCTCGACGTCTCTGATTATTTCGTACGACCACGTTATCAATCGCGTTTCAGCTCATGCATACCATAGACCCCAACAGTCAGACAGGAACTTTCATAGTCGGGATCGCCGAGCGCAACTCTCCCACTAACGAGAAAATAGCGACCTGTTCGAGAGAAGCGTAAACATGCCAAAGTGCAACACCCCGGTGGGAATCAGCAGGGCCCTGTCGCGACAGATTGTCTCTGATGTTGAGGTGGTAACGTGTCCGTGCGCGTGATGCACGCACAACACCGTAACAGCTCTACGAGAAATGAGGCTATAGAGCCACATATAGTAGCGAATGCTGCGAATTTTTTTGGTGGAGTGCTCTACCGATGATTTCGATCAACTATGCTACAGATATTTACTTGGAAGCCTAACGTTGCGGCCGCGCCGCGTAATCTTGGGCGGAGTGCTGAGGCGGCACTCGAGGCCTCCTCAGTAGCTACATTGTCAACTACACGTTTAAGACGCTTTCTAAGCTGCTGAGGTGCTTGTGGGGCCTTTCTTCAACTCTTTTGGGATAATTTCAGAGCCTTTTCAGCGTCATGGACAGACCTCTAGGCACCACGCTGAGCTGCCTTTTCAGCCCTCTCCCTCTCCTTTGCCTCCTTCGCAACCTCACGCGCAAAACGCTTGTCCTGCTGGATCTTCTCCCTGTACAGCTTAGCTGCCTTCCTCAGCTCTGCTGTCTCTGCTTCTTGAAGCTGCTCCTCCTTATCCTCACGCTCCTTGATAGATTGAACTGCGCCTCCTTCACCTTCCTTGGTGACCAGAACCCTGATCCACCATGATACTCCTTACGCTGTTGTAGATGTAGGGCTTTGACCTGCCTTGTACACTTCTTCTTTGTTGCTAGCGCGTCCCTCAACCTAGTGATATCATGGTGGAGTAGCTCATTTTGAACATATAGGTGGTGGAGCGTTGATGTTATCCACCTCCTCTGACGTATCCCACCATGGCTACGCACTTAAACAGCTCTCTTTTCGCGATCACAACTGACCGTTGTTACAGCGATGGTGATAAGAGTCAAGCTCTTCCAGTCGGAGGCTCGAGATACAAGCACGAACGGCAGCTCGTCAGCCCGCCGGCCACCACCCGACGCATACCCACCGCAACCACTCTTGCGCCTGCTGCTGTCTTGCAAAGCCTTGCTCCCGATTGCTGAAACCTCGGGCGCCCCCGCCAGCGAGAGGCCTGTTCGCCTTGTCCTCTCCACATATCTACCTCGCCACCTTATCGAGAATGTACAGGCAAGCGAGTGATTCACGAAAGAACCTAGAGAATGTGCATCGCTGTTTAGGTGTGAGCGTCGAGGGCTTAGGTAATTTTAATACGCGCCCCGCAAGACAAGACTTTTATGCGCATTAGGTGCAAGACGTCTGTCGTGGTATTCTCCTTACACAGCCTCAACCTCGGCTCGTACTGCTACAGATACATTACTGACTGCTCTGCAGCCTATCGCCTGTTCGCTTTCTGCAGACGGGTCACCCGTGTGCTGTTCCACTGGCTGGCTGCCGGCACGCGATACTTCAGAGTTATACTGCTGCCAGCAGTATATCCATGCTTGTCAGGTAGCCTGGGGTTACCGTGACAATGATCCATCTCCTCAGCACATACGATTTCAAGTACGCTCAGGCGTAGAAAGAAAGGCCAGCCAACCTAAACGCTGAGACTCAGATGATACAAAACCGTCACACACAGATTCGAATAACATAAAAAATAGGCTAACGTGTTTACAAGCGAGCTGCGGATACAAGCGAGCTGCGAACCCCACCAACTTTCTCCGACGCGTCACCTATCAACTATAATGGCTCAACCAACACTTATTCAATTGCCCTATAATGAAGCAGATATCTCCCTAGCTATCTTAGCTATCAATCAGAATCAGATCTAGAGCGTTAATCGCGCTGCAGCAACATTTAACGTTCCTGAAAGCACGCTTCATAGCCGACGCGCTAGAACTATTACGTGACGCGATTATGAGCCTAACGTGTTCCACCACTCATTAGCGCACACCAGTCATCGGCGCACCCCACCAAAATCGCGACGCGTCTTCTATACAACGCGCCATGCCGCCCACCCAAAGCACTCAGCAATCCCAGAAGGAAGGCAGACTAGCTCTTTCAATACACGCAATTCAGAATAAATAGATTAAAAGTCGCCGTTACAGAATCGAATAGCAGGTGCTTGCCCACAAGCTATTGCCAACGCCCTAAAATAAAAGCTACACCCTATAGAGGAGCAAGCTCTAGTAGAGTGGATCCTAGACCTGGACCAACGAGGATTTCCACCCCAGATCATTGACATACAACGGATGGCAGATAATCTACTTAATACGTGTGGCCAGATTCCTCCTCCAGCTCCTATAGGCAAGAACTGGGTATCACACTTTATTAAGACCTAGCCAGAGCTCCAGACAAAGTAGGACAGGAAGTTCTATAGTTAGCGTGCCCTATATGAGGATCCTATTAGGATCTCTACCTAGTATAAGCTTATGGAGGAGACGCACCAGGCGTATGGCATATAGGATGGAGACACCTATAACTTTAATAAGACTGGCTTTATGATGGGTGTTAGATCCTTATTATCTAAGGTGGTTACAAGCTTAGATACTATAGGTAGTGCTGTACGCGTACAGCTAGGCAATAGAGACTAGGTTATAATAATTAAGTACATCTACGCGTCTGGCTAGTCTATACTACCCCTTATTATCCTGTCTAGTAAGCTCTACTAAGCCAGCTAGTATAATGGCCTACCTACTAGCTAGTCACTCATAGTTAGCAACAATGGCTAGACCACAGATCTACTAGGGCTTACCTAGCTAGAGCACTTTAACTAGCATATAGAGGCTTATATAGTAGGCACCTAGTGTCTACTCATCCTAGATGGCCATAGCAGCCACGCTACCCTAGAGTTTAATACCTACTATATAGAATATAGGATAGTCACCCTCTATATGCCTACGCATACAAGCCATCTCCTCTAGCCTCTTAATATAAGCTACTTCTCCCCACTTAAGTGTTACGATCACATAGAATTACTACAGGAAGATAAAGGTGCTATACGGAAAGAACCTAGCAAAGGATCTAAAGGCTAACACACTAGAGGACGCTAAGTGACCACCCTAGTTACGTTAGTATAAGTGGTTACGTGACTATGCTCCCGCCAAGAGGACCTTAGTGAGGGAGTAGGAAGGTGCTCCCGCCAAGGAGGTATTAGCGAGGGAGCAAGATACTCTAGAAGAAAGTTGCTCCCGCCAAGGAGGCATTGGCGAGGGAGTAGACCAGGACTATAGAGGATGGAAAGACGGGTATATAGTCTTAGACATTCTTTAAACATTTCTATTCTTTGTAGTCAACTTCGAAAGCTTACTTTTATATCTAAATTAAAGCCACTCGTCTTTATACGGACCATTAGCCTTCTCTTAATATTTATTATATCATACTATCATATGGTGTAGGATATTCACCCAACCTCTTTGGTACCGCCATCCCTTACCCTCGAATTACTAAATACCTATAAGGTACGAACCTACGGTTAGGTACGTAGAAACCCCTTGTAACAAACTCCTAGATC